GATGTGTGAACCCATAATTTAATACAAATCTTTCCAGGGCATTGAACTCGAGGTAATCTACTAAGCATAGAAGAAAATGATCTGGACACTTAAGATACTAATTTTATTGCCGAAATGAGAGCGGAGGCGGCGGCCGCTGAATCTAATGACTGTTGTTACGTGTGTAATTTGCACAGTTTTAAGACAAATGTGTTAATGTGAATTTTATGGCATAATAATTACTGCACTTTGGGCAGTTCATGTCGAACTTGTTTAAATAATCAGCGTAAAATATTAAATTGGATACAGTTAGAAGCTAGACGTAATCATGCGCAGAATATTGAAGAGAATAGATCTTATATCAAAATATCGATAGCGAGTCGTTACGTGATTCAACGACGCTGTATGTCAATCTTTGATCCTTTCCGTCTTTTGTTATAATTGTTAACTTGGTTGGGACATAAAACTTATTTATCCCGTATCGTCCGCATCGCCGCCGGGGGATAGGCTTGCAGTTAGGTACAGAAGGGGCGCGATGTTCACCGTCGATACGGGACAAACTGTTCACTTCCTAACATAAATTCGGTGTAGAGGAATCGGATATTATTCAATCGTACGATCGAAGTTCGCGAGGGTGCAATAAGTTACGGCGACGCGAGCGCCGGCGGGTTCCGTGAGCAGTGGCGCACGAAGCCGATCGCATCGGCTGGGCCGCTAGCTTTTAGGAGGCGGTTAGCTTGGTGTGACGTCACAGAAACTTTGTCGGTTGGGCAGCCACATCAGTCCGATTAACTACTTGAATATAAATATACCTCACCGCTTACCCATGCAGTTTACAATACGTAAGGTTTGGAAAGTCTTACATGTATCACAAAATTATAAATTGATTGGAAATATCTTGGAGCTGGTGGAGATCAAACCTAAGACCTGGTAATTATTAGCGATGGATTCCTACAATTCAATAAACGTGCCCATCAAAAAAATATATCATGAAAACCTATATTATGTGATTATTAAACTCAAATATATAAACGATGACGTGAATGCCGGTTTGTTGCATTCCTATATTTTAACGGCTGTTTGAAAAGTAATAAAAATGTCCAACGAAGCTTGATGTAAAAGCCTAGCATAATGGTCATATTACAACACCAATGGTTGCCGTTCCGCCCGCGTAGCGCAAAGTGGGTGCTGTTACCACTTTACCGAGCCATGCTTCGCTGAAGCTTAATTTTATGTTCAAGGAACACGTCCTTTGAAGCTCCCCGACGGTAGTTACATAATATATTTGAAAAGCGTGAATGAACAGAAGACACGACCACAGAAGTGGTTTCAGGCTATAATTATTTTAACAGCTTAAAAATACACTTAATACAATAATATATATATAACAATTTGATGGGTTGGTTGGTCTAATGGCAGCGATGCTAATATAGGCGTATAATCAACGGGTCGTAGGTTTGACTAAACGGGTGGTAGGAATATCGCAATTCGTCCACCACCAACAAAAGAAACAGTAGTAATCGCGTTTTGGTTTTAGTCATAGCCAAATTTAATATTCAAAGCCATAATAGGTCAATAGCGAATTTTGCCGGGATGTTATATGGCTGGGGTGCTTCATCTTTCATCGAGCGAATACGTTGCTTGTCTGTCCTCTATCGATCTATATATAAGTATATTAAAATTAGACTTACCACGTACTTATGTAACCAGGTTATGGAAATTTAAAAACGTAAAGGGAACATGATTGAAATGTGAGACACTGATTTAAGACGCGCAGTGCAACGCTTTTCGACTTTAAATAACTCATCGACTTCATAGCTACTGCAACTTAAATGAGTTAACTACGAATATATTTCAAGTTTTTAACGGCTAAAAATGTTTTATATAAATGTCTATAGTAAGCTTTTTAAAAAAAAAAACTAAAAAGAAAAACTAACGCCACTAAATAAGACTTATATTACATGTGAGTTATATAGATTTATAAAGCTATACATATTATTATAAAACTAAACACTTTGTTTGTTTATTGAACGCGCTGATCGCGGGAACTCCCCCCCCCCCCCCCCCCCCCCCCCCCCCCCCCCCCCCCCCCCCCCCCCCCCCCCCCGCACAAAAATGGGAAAACCGTTCAAGAAACAAAAATAAAGTACGGAAAAATTAATCTAAAATGTCCGCGACAGAAGCGTTTTGACAGAACAAATGTTGATGAAAATAATGCATTATTATTAATTACTCGTAAGAGTCGACATATTATATTCAAGACTAAAGAGATGGTTTGCATAGAATAAATATGAGGCCAAAAATAACTGTTCCCGAGGAACGAAGTCGCGAGCACAGCTAGTTGTCCATAAATAGACAGGACGTCGAAAGGGCATAAGATAAATCAATATCAATTGCTAAACGTCAATAAAGTAACAAAGCTCTCTCTGGATAATTTAAAGTCTAGTAAAACGAAATCATAAAATCTTCAACGTTAATAGCGGTGAAAGTTCCCAGGTCTGCGAGGCAAGAAATTGATGACCTAAAAGGCAAAAACTGTAGATAGATCTCGGTATCAAATAGCGTAAAGGTCATGGGACAGTCATGCCTTCAGTCCATTGGAGAAATAGCTTCTAATTGATGCAAGTGCATTGTGAGCGTCGTCATTAAATAAATCCTCATGCAATATTCATATTAGTTATTGTACTTTTCATTGTGATGTGTACGTACTTATAGTCAATGGATAAATACGTTATCTCGATTTTCCACGTATCACGTAAACAATCGTATAGAAGGAAGTACTAAGATATATATATATATAAGTGAACTAGCTGTGTTAGCGACTTCGTCCGGGTACAGAAGTTATTTTAAATTTGTTTATAGATTTAAGCTGTTGTCCACCAAGTCGGTCGCGTCGCGTCGCTTTGCAAGTTTATCTTAAAAGATATTATAATGTCGCGGACATATTTTTAGATCATTTAAAGAGGGATCAAGCTTTAATTAATATTTTTTTAGGAATCTTGAACCGGTGTCGCAGCGTACGCTACGAAAACCCACAGAAATTAATAATTTTCCAAGTCTTCTCCACATTTCCCGCTGTTTATTCGCTCCTATTGGTCGCAGTGAGATATTTTATAGTCTTATACCATTTCTCGATAAATGCTCTAAAAAACGGAAAAAAAATATAATTTTTTTTCAATTCCCACGAGTAGTTTCCGAGATAAGCGCGTGTAAACAAACAAACTATTCAGCTTTATAGCAAAATATCCAAGCGAAGGTACGTTTCTTTCAAGCTTTAATTGCACACGTGATTCTAAAAGCAATATAATATTCCGAACAAGCCATCTTGAATCGCTCATACTAGCCACGGGCTAAAAGTTTCTGGAGTGAGTGTAATGGCTATTTAAATGGACGATCAATTGCAATGACGATTAGTAAATAATAGATGAGTCCTTTCTATGGGTAAAGGATGCGTCGCTTGTATGCGCCCCGAGGGGGATATTAAGTTTGTTTATAATCCTCGAGTAAGGATAGTAAGATATTATCATTTTTTTTATGGAGGTAGACAAACATGCAGTTCACTTGATAGTAGGAGAAATACTCCAGCCATATAACATCTAAATATGGTGCGCTGTCCCTATTTTGGATTTGATTATTCGGATATCCGACAGGCTGAAACCGAAATACGATTTAACTTTACAGCTTTTCCTCTGTAGATGGTGACCCGGCGTTCGTATCCCGGACGGAATTTCGTTATTCCTACCACCCATTTATTCAGATATACATATTCAGATTACGAGACAAAGTACAACATTTTCAAGAAATATTAAAATAAATAAAAATAAAAAAACATTTGAAATCAAGGTGGATCGAACCGAGAACTGGAACGGGAAAAGTTGGGCACTGTATCAGCAGGATGGTTTATTAATTTATTTGTAACAACTTCAAATACTGTAGGTAATTTGAGTAGAGGCCACAGAATATCAGTATTGGGACATCAGTCCCAACGTAGCTGAGTGGCTTCCTTTTCAGAGGCAACTATATTATAGTATTAATTTTATTTCGTTATATACTTATTGATATTGTTTTAATTAGATTTTTATTGTAAATGTTGTTTCTAAATAAACGTATTCTATTCTAATTTATACAATGCTCACCTAAGTATAGGAAGTGGTTCACTTACCGCTGGATAGTCAATAAAACACTTCAAGCGGTTAGATACGCAGAACATTTTTTTTTGTTTTTTGACACAACAAAATGCGTCTGATCATTTTACAAACAAGGACTCGCTTTAAAACTTATAATTTTATTTACTCAAATATGTTTTTAATAAAAGAGTCCCGCATTACAGAAAAACATACAAGCTGGCTTTGCGTAATTTGTTACAAAGTTATCTATACTTATTGCCTTAACGCATGGAAACACCTGCCTGCGTAGGAATTTCGTGCCACACAGAAGTGCAGCCACTATTATTTCATTGAATTCCCGTTACAAAAATAAAATTGAAACCTCATTGAACCATCGAATGGGAGTTTTAATAGTGAAAAATGATCACCATAAGACCGTTTATGATCAACGATTCCAATTTGTATGTATAGTAATTAAAGTTATTAACTTGCACGATAATCAAAATACATTCGATTTGATATAGGATTTATGTAGAAGAACGAGATAAGATAAAATTTGATAAAATGATAAAAAATTAAAATGCAGTTTAGTTTATTAAATTATATTAAATTGGATTTAAATCTGATATGATTAAACCCTATGATGTAGGTATAAGAAGTATTTCAGAAAAGTTAAATGAGATTAAAGCAAAACAAACGTTTTAAACAGCAAAATCCGTAACTAGTGTGAAACATCAAGTATTCGTTTGTTATCTTTTTTAATTCTTAACTTTTATTTTAATGCACGTAAAAGCTACAGATTCAAGTTAAAATAGAACAAAAAAAGGCATGACTCAGGAGTCATTAGGAGAAAGAAACGGCAAGAGCGTGCCTAGAGGCTGTTGCCAGTCGGAACTGAAGCGAGTAGCGTGAGAAATGCACACTGGACCTCGAATGGAGCGTGCGCACCCAATTCCCTATGCAAATTTGCACTCATCTCCCGCCACTACTGTATGGTACCGAGAGGCCTGCCTGCCTCACCCACAGATATCAACGGCAGGAAACATAGAGCTCAAAGTCGAATAAATCCACCCTTATACCAAAGAGGAAACCGCACTGCAAATGCGCCTCAACTATTTTATTGGTAACATTAGAACGAGCCCCGCAAAGTCTTTTTACGGCGAATCACAACAATAGCGCTTATAACAAGGGAGGACGCTCGTTACAGGGAGTTCCCTCTATTATTTTATTAAGTGCTCAATAAGACTAAGGGTCCGAGAGCGGAGCCCATTTATCTATAACTGCTTATTGTTTAACCACGACCGTAATAAATACATTGGTGGTAAAATGTTTATCGCATCATAAATATGAAACAATTAATGTATCGTTTTGTTCATCATACTATTTTGCAACGATTGTAATATTATTATATAAAGGAGCCTTTACAGCTATTTTTAGTATGTTCCGATGATCGTTGGAATCCAGACATTGAAGTTGTGTAGGTTATCATACGAATCGTAAAAAAGTGTGTCATCCTAAACTGTATCAGAACAAAAAGTTTCTTTCGAAGTAGCATGAAGCGGTAGACGCGAGACAAGAGCGACGTAGCGCAGTGGAGATTGAATCCGACAGGCCGGATGATATTGTTGGAATTACAAGCGTTTTATCACGGCAAATGAGCTCGCGCGCAAGCCGACAATGGCGGAGCCGTCATGCCGAACGTCGCCTTCTCGAGATCACGACCGCGACATCAGAAATCAATAATCGACTGATTTAGCCACCGCGTGCGAACCTGATTAGACACGATAGTGCCGCGTCTCCACCGAACTCTCGGGTTGCGGGGCGATAGGTTATCGTCGTCTGTACTTCGCACAACTGTTTTATTTCTAGACATCGAATAACGGAGTAGAACACTGACATATATTTTACAACGATATCTATCTCACGAGAGTGTGCCCGTTTCTTCGTTAGAGACACCTTTTAAATTAATTGAGGTGATTTACGTGAATTCGCTGGAACACGCCACGGGTTTGTTGCGACGCTGCTTGCTCGTGGAAGCCGCTATACTATGTGTTGGCGTGAACTTTAAATGTTGGGCGCCACAAAAAAGCTTTAAAAGATCAATAGGAAAGTCAATTACATCGGTGGTCTATGTATAATCGGCGCTGCGTGCGCGTTTCCATTATGTTTCACTAATGTACCTAGAATAATCTATCATTACAATGATTTATATGAGGTCTATCACAGGCTAGGATGCTTAATGACAGGTCGTGGTCCTTCCAGCGTTGCATATGGGTTTGTAGTTTATAATGATTGAGCACTAAGCCTCCCTGAAGCAATGTACGTAATGCGTGCGTTTTATTTTAATCTTGAGACGAGAAAATGGATGAATTCTTGGGCTACAGTGCTTGCTTATAGATAGTATTGCTACTAAGCATTTTCCAAATTTAATACTAAAATAATAGTTTTACAAAACCAGAACCTATAATTGTTATAAATTTTTAACTAAGAGCCTATAAAAAGTTACCTAACGGAGAAGTTTAAAATTATAAATTCGCGTTCTAAACCCTCAGTGTTATAATTAATATATAACCCTTGTGTTAACCACAGATACAAATAATTTTGCTTAATATATTAAAAAATGCAGTAGGTTTCAAATTATCACTTTAATAAAACAGGCTATCACTATGAATTTAATTAAAATACATTAAAACGAATTACCAGGGTATAGGTACTAGAAAACGCCTGTACTTAGAAGCGTCGATCGTCGAAGAAAGATTTTTTGTGAACGCCAAATGAAGTTATTACCATAACGGACAACAAATGATAACTACATTTAAGTGAGCCAGGTCAATATTTTTCTACTCCAACCTAACAATGTCGACAAAGGAAAAACGCCATTAACAAATAATGAACGGTAACGGTGAATAAATTGCAGATCTCTTATTAATTTGTTTACGAAGAATCATTAAAATCAAGTATAATTTCCGAGACTAACTCAAGTTCATGTTTAACAAGCGTCAATCAACGAGACAAGTGCCTATTGATTGTAAAATTAAGTAAAATAAGTAGCCGGCCAAGCGTGAGTTAGGCTCGCACTGGGTTCTTTATTATTTTCTATACAATTTCATGCTTCATGAGATTATATAATAGATTTTGTGATACAAGATAGCCAAGTGTAAGGTTTACTTTACAGCCGTCACGTTTCGGTGTCAGTCTGTGAATTTACGAATATACAAAGCCAAAATAGGTAAACAGCGCTTGTTGTATAAATGCTCCATATAATAAACAAAAAAAGTTGCGCTACTAATCTACATTCGTTTTGTTCAAAACTTCAGGTATTAAGTGACAACTGAAATTCACGGGGACTGTGTGTTTCATAAAAGCATGTTTAAAATCTATGATTATCATCATAGATTTTAAACATGCTTTTCGGACACGGACACCAGAGTGTGACCATTTTACAGGACCCTAAAAATCATTTCTGCACTATATACTACGTAATTAACACAAGGTACACAAGTTGATATCGAGAAAATAATTCGGAACATGTTTTCTTTGAGTTGGCGTCGTGTTAATGTATACCTATTTTTTTATTACACGTGACAACAAAACTACATAATGTAAAAAATGTGAAATTTCTTTGCGGTTTTAGATCTGTCGTTAGGCGTTCGGTTTTACTTTTGCTTACGGAACTCTAAAAATGCAGGAGCACTATAGATATTCAATTTATTGTAATTTCAAACAGTTACCTCAATTACATATAATTCATCACCATTAAGATTGTGCATTATTTGTGGACACATGAAAATAAACGCAAAAACTCGACCGGTAAATCGTTCGACGTCTAGCGATGTATCGTTACGAGCTTAGTAATTATCCAATTCGATAGCGGTTAAATATATGTAATTTTCGTACGAGCTACCCGACAGCGATCCTTAACTGTAATAAACGAAAATAATAAGCGATCTTTTAGTGTAACACATTAAGTCGGACGTGGTATCGTTATAAAGTAACAACGAGCTTCGACATGTAATAAATGTGGCCACTGAATGTTTTCGCATAATTATGACGCGGTGCTTGTGGATTGAAAACCGTTCTACAGCTAAAAGGAATTACTATTAAGAATATTGGGAGAAAGTAAAAGAATTAGAAATAACCTATGGATTTAAGTGCTTGAGGTGTACATAATTATTTTATTGACGAATTTGAACCCATCGTTTCAAATAAATTTATAATTTTTCTAAAACATGTTGGGTATGTTTGATCTAGATATTAAATAGGGTAGTATCGGAAATTTGTCTCAGATCGCGTACCACCGTCCAAAGAAGAAGCGGTTTCGATTACAGTCTGTAGATTTCCTAATATCTAATGTCAAAATAGGTCGACAGAGAGTCAAGAGATTTTATGTAACTAGGGTCACCTTCCATTAAGTGATCCTTACTTATCAGTCCTCCTCTATAAAAATAAAGAATATATTAAAAATAAATGTGTCATAGACTCATCTTTTAAATAAAACACTTTAACGGTTTAAAACGCGATATATTAGTTAATTAATCAATTAACTAACTAATATATCGCGTTTTAAACCGTTAAAGTGTTTTATTTAATCGACTACTCGCGTAAACTATAGACACTATTTAGACTCATCTTTTTAAATTTCTATGACATGAGTATAAATATTTATTCTGATTTCTTTGTAGGTAAAAAATATTCCTCGGGTTACGTTAAGACCGAACAAAGTTCAACGCAGTGTTTAACAAATAAACCGTAATTTCCGCTAAGTCTATCTATATTTAACCAAAGCAGGTTCATGTTTAAATAAGCTATTTAAAAATAAGACTAACATAGATGACAATGAACTAATAAAATAATTTAATATAACGGTTACTTATTGCCTATTTGACGTCACTAAGTAATTTTCGTCAAATTAATATTCACAACCGACCTAAATATCGCATAGATTCCCCTCGTAAACGTAAAGCTATTATTGTTAAAACTATTTAAGTCTATTAAATTTTAATTTATGTCTTGCTATAAAACTGTGATAAGTGAGTTAAACATTGTAGAGTCGTCGGTACACAAAAGGATCGTACAGCGTTTTGTATATTAGTAATTTAAATAATACTAAGTGGCTCTTAACATTTTTTTTTATTGTAATAAAATAGGGTTTGCAAAACAAAATGCCCAAAAACTATTTTACACGAAGTCGCTGGCACATCTAGTTATTTATATAAATGTAGCTTAAGTTCTAAATTTAATTGTGGTTAAAAATAATCTGAAACACTGAACGCACATAGTAAATTTCAGGCGCAATTACAGTAAATCGAATCTATTTATGGGAGAAGTTAATCGTTAATCCGCGCGTCTCTAGATGCTATCGATAATGAAAAAAGGGTTAAAATGCATTAAAAAGTCGCATTGATTAGCCCACATCGGCGTTTCATTATTCAGCGAGGCGCCAATAATCAGGAGTGAGGCATGCGAGCGGCAACAGGCCGGCTGTAAATAGACGCAACTTGCTGCGGCTTCACCAACTAACCTACAAAGCCCGAGGGTTATAAAAGCCTAGCTTTGTTCAGAGGTGTTACGCGTTATCCGATTTTAAATATATAATATTTGCACAAACATGTTTTATTTTGTACATATTATAATTCTAAGTATCTATGTTCTTATGTCTATGTTTGTGCAATAAAGAGTTTTTATTTTTATTATTATTAATATAATAATATCTTTTAAGTTTAACTCACAATAACTGTTTTTAATAGAATAAGATTTTGTCGAAATACTTGATAATATGGCAAAGCAATGTTTGTCAGGTCTGGTAAAACTAAATAAATACGTAGCTGTCAGTGTACGGAATTGTTGCACGATAAATAAAATACATAAAACTATAATATATATAATATCGTAAATAAATTAACTTGTCAGTAATCAAAATATACTTTTAATAGATATTCAAAAGTGGCATAGATCTTGGTGGAAACGCTATTACATGTATATAACTCTAATAAACAGTATGGTTTTTGTTTATTCCTTGAAGGATTAATCAAAAAATATCTTACTGAGAAACTAAGGATGTTTTTAAGCTAGCGTTTATTGCGTTTTGTGAACACATAGACTACAATACGGTTTGAAGTTTGAGCTATTTTTAGATAGCTTATTATAGTATCAAAGAATATCCTATACCAGACGCATTCGGTTATTGAATGTTAATACTTATCATGTTTACTAGCGCATCTCGTTTAAAGGATAAGTGTAGTCATGTGCATTAAATACTTTTATGATCATACGTTAAAACCTGCTGAGCGAAGAACGATCGCGCACTTACGTGTATTAAAAAAAATAAAAATAGGGTCAAGAGCGCGTCGGATGCACACGAAGGGTTCCGTACCATTAACAAGGGACTCCAATTTCTTCTTATAACCTAGTTTCAGTTACTAGGCAAGAAAATAGAACCAGTTCTATGAATGAAATTTGTTTTGTTAAAACATTGCGTAATTGGTAAGAGATTCTTGAAATATAGCCTTGTAAACGACATATTGAGAGACACACAGACAGAGAGGAAAAATACTTAATAATAGGGTCCCGTTTTTACCCCTTGGATGCAGAACCCTAAAAACAAAATTGCACAGAGATATTGATTATGATTATACATATTTTAGCACAGAGTATATGACATAATTGCTGGCTGATGAGCGCTAAGTGGCGACAGTCTCGGTTATTTCTTATTTTTACACATTTTATAATGTAATGAGTAAATTTTTTATTGTAATG